CTGTTATTTATATAGGATCCCGTTTTCAAAAACAGAACAAAATGTGCACGCCTTTTCCTTTTAAAACAACCAACCAACAATTTTATCACATTGAAAATATTCCTATTTTGGCGCCGCTATATATTTTTTGGTAATCTTTGATGAATTTTCAAATCGCTTTTATTTTATAATTTTTCCACTTTTCTGTTGAAATACTTATTTCGTTGTTTATTTCACAAAAACAACACCACTCATATTTAAATGTTATGTACCTTTGGCTGTATGTTCTAACTTTAGTTAAATTTTTGAATGAAACACGCGTAAGCTTGCTGTTTTCGCACCAACTTGCAAGAAGAAAATTCTGATAGTGAAAAGTTGTCAGCTAGTAAATTTTCATCTCGTACGATTTTCTCATGAATTCAGCTTTGTTACGGCTGAATTTTTCTGCTTATTGTGAATTAATTACAACAATAAAAACAAAACAAACGATGCGAAACAAATGGCAAAAAGAGAATTTGAATAACGTGGTTTTCGTAGACTTGGCATCACTTTTATAAACATATGTTCTATTTACAGTATAGGGTTGCTGAGTTGGAACTTTGTAGAAAATAATCAAAAAAATGGGATAGAAAGGCCTATATAAGGTCTGACAGCTGGGTACTAAGTTTGCTGTCAAATCATATTTTAAAACCTATGCAGACATACAAAATTATGTTAGACGTCAAAACGAAAATATAAATATTTTATCAACATTTTAATCGTCTTTGCGAATCACATTTGGACTATTTCAAAATCTTATCTTAAACTCCTTGTACATTAGAACTTTTTAACGGGTTAACCTACTTTATGAGGATTTATTTGACATATATGCAAAGGAATTGACAATTGAAACCCCCTGGGTCAACGAAATCCGGTTAAATGTAAACGTACCATTAAAAATTATAATTTGTGTTGTGTTTTTTATTTAAAGCGAAAGAATTAGTTTTCCACTCGGCAAAAAATTGACGTTAAACATAAGTTTTCTCTATGAATTATCTTATTGTTTTTTTATCGCACTAATTTTGAAATTGGGGAAAATCGGTCCAGATTTAGATATAGCTCATACATATATATATAGTTATATTTATTGCAAATAGTGCCCAAAATTGCCATTGTTTGTTCGATTTATACCAAAGTTGGCATAACGAATGCAATTGAGTTAAGAATGATGTGTGTTAAGTTTATTTAATCGGTTCAGATATACATATATGGTCTGTTCCAGTACTTTTTAATAGTAAAGCTAGTAAAAGGGAAACATTTCAAAATCGCTTCCAGAGTACAAAAGAATTTGAAAAGTTCGGGAACGCAAATCTTGTAAATCTGCCAAATTAAATGGCAATACTTATAAATCAACATAACAGCCAATCAGAAGTAGGGATTCCTGTTTACCATTTTTTTCGACCAAATTTCTCGAGTAAAAAGTTTACAAAGAGAACGCCATTTTGTTTTGTGCTCTCTTAAATTTGATTGAATGTTTTACCAGATTTGTGGGTTCAGGAACGGTTTTTGAGTAAAAAGTTGCAAAACTTGTGAAATTAGTAGATTCTTTTAGGTTCTGGAACGGAACTATAGCTTGCATATTGCACGGACAATTTTGATATAGCTCTATATATATTTCGTCATTGGTGCAGTTTTGGAATAAGATTTTTTTGAAATCTGTTCAGGTTTACATATAGCTTTCATACATATTTTCATCCGATTTTACCTAAATGGTGCACAACGTACCAAATAAGAACATAAAATATCGCGTATTGGATTTTGTAAAATATATTTAGATGCAGATACAACCCCTACATATTTCGTCTGAGTTCCAAAGTACCAAATAATTAACGTTTCTCTACACGAGATAGAATTTTGGACAGCGCACTGTGCTGAAGCTACGAAATGGTGAATGCCACGGTTACTCAAATAGGTCCAGATTTAGAATAAAGCGTATTGGATTTTGTAAAGATTTGTATATAGCTCCCATACATAGTTTTGCTCGATTTCATACAAATGATGCCGATTCCACTTTAATGGTCCTCCAAATATGTTGTGTCTGTTCTATGTACAGGATATTGTACATGTGAGTATCTCTTGTATGTACCCAAAGTGGTGAAGGGTATCATGCAGTCGTGCCATCCGACTTTAGAACTTTCCTTATTATTATTTTTTTGATTTGATAGCAAAAATAAATGCAATATGTATACTATATACAGTATGTTAAGAATGAGTGAACATTGAATAAATAAATACTCTTTTCAGTAAACGTAAAAAATGCAAAAGAAATAAAATTTTCAGTTTCATTTTAAATAAATAATAAAAAATATAAAAATATTCAATTCTAACATTCAAAATATATTTTTTTTCACATGTCGTAAATGTTAGGTTGATAGTCATGGTATAATTATTACAAGGTAGGGCACAGCTACCAACTGATTACAATTTTTTCTCCAGGTGGCTTGTTCCATAAAATCAAAATACATCCCTGCAAGAATTTGGAAGTAAGTTTTTAACTCCATCTTCAAATAATTATCTACTTCGACACTTATTTTTTGTAAAAGGGTGATACTTCGTAATTTTACAATAACAAATGAATTGTTAACCAATTTCGATCGTCTGTAGTAACTACTTAGTTAAATGAAAGAAGATGAAAATACGATAACTTCGTAATTTAACTGTCGTTCTATAAATATTTGTCATCGAATAAAATTTTGTGGAAAATACTACATTTTCATTAAAAAATCTTCGGCCTGAAACATTTTTCATTGGTGTATCAAATAATATAGAGAGGCGCGGAAAAATATAATTATAGATTTATGGTCATGGATGTATAACTCTTTGGTTATAAGTTCAAGTAAAGAAGTATCATTTGGCACATTCATCATTCAAAGCTAACATGAGCTCTACATCAAAAAAGGCAATTGAATTGAGAAGCAAGAGGGAGGCATCTGGATTATTTTCAACCTTTTTCCCAAAGTCAACAAAGTGCAACATCCACCGCAAAAGGTAATGTGTATTGAGCAAATTAGAACATCAAAAGGCAATGATATTTTAATGTGAATGGCAGTTCGGAAAATAGTGAAAGTGAATATGACGGCGAAGATAAAACTGAATGCACAACAAAAAAATTATGAATTTTTCTAAAAAATTATCGGAATCGGCAATCCAAAATTTTGTAAATCATAACGCATAATAAGCTCTTGGTCATGTTAAGAGAAGAAGAAATCAATGTACATAAATACTGCAGGACATTAAAAGGAACTCCAAACGAAGTATATATTCGTAGTATTTTAAGGGGATCATATACTCATTATGGGTTAGAAGACTGTCATAATGTCCACTTCCTTAGAAAAAGAATTGCAATTGTTGCCACCGCTGCCATTTTATGTTTTCGACGATTTTAAAAATGTTGATGCCAAACATCTAATAGAAGACGAAGTTCGGGAACAATTGGTAATAATAAGCTGAAATGACCTGGCGTGGAACTATAAAAATCTCAGTTTTCAGCGATTTGCTATATATAGTATAATAAGAGGCAAGTCAGCTTACTTTTGTGTTCATTTGAAATTAAACCATTAATTTTTACAGATATGTGCCATCTAAAATTTCACCAGACGTCGTTGTCGGACCTAAACAAAGTTTGTCAACAACATATTTTACACGCTCGGGATAGAATACACAAAAAACAACAGATGACTGTAAATCAATAAAATTATTGAAAATATAACTATTATTATAATTTAACTAAATAATGTTTTTAGTTTTACTTAGTATTAACCTTAAAATCAATATTATGTTTGTTTGGCGTTAAATGTTGAAATTTTTTTTTTGCAAAATATAGGTTATTCATTATTGTTATTGCAATTACTCATTATTCATACAAGTATTTTACTTTGGGTATCAAAAACTCACTACCAGGCGATATCGTATTTTTGCAAATACGGTTATTGAAGAAATGAAACACGCATTCGTCACTTCTTAAACGTATCTTCTTAGTGAACGTTTATAGTAACTAAGGCGATAATATTTAAGGTAACAAAACAATGTCATTTTGGAGTGTCGCTTTATTAACTTCAAATTGTGACGAAGAAGATACTTTTTAAAGGTAACGAGTATGTGGTTCATTTCTTCCCAAACGGTATAACTTATTTGTTAAAAATACGATATCGCCTACCTTGGGTATGTTTTGGATAGAAAATGCTTGCTGGGATATTTTGTGTACGTGTTTGTATTGTTTTGAATACTATGTCAAATAAATTCAAAATAAATTGAACTGTATTCAAATTTAATTGAAATGAAAATTATGTTTTTAACGCGTCCCTCTGGAAGTAATTACTTTGTTATGGATGAAACAAATATTTCATGGTTTACCCTACTATTTTCAATATAAAGTATTGCGCACTTTTACAATTTTTGTCATCAAATTATTTTCAATATAAAGAATTGAATACACAAAAACACACAATACCGTTACTTTCATACAGTGTATATCGAAATAAAATAAATAAATATCAAAAATAATATAACTAGCTTCAACATTTGAAAATGTTAAATTATTATTCATGTGTAAACTCATTCTTTACATATTGTATACATTTAGGTATTGAAAACATAATAATAATGTATAGTTTTATGTATTTTTAAATTTATTCGAAATTGTTTACGGAGTACAATTCCTACCACTCAAATCTAAATTGAATACTGAATGAAAAATGGCAACTCTGTTACATTAGCTCCGGTGGTTCATTTTATGAAATCCCTAATATTATCAGCTGTTTTTCTGTATATTTCACACTCATTCGTAAACACAAGAATTGTCGGCCATTTTGTTTTGAGTTCATTCGTTCGTCATTGGTCTTTATCCAAGATAATAATTTGTTGGTTGTACCAAACGACGGCACTGCCCTGGAGCTAAGACTACGTGCACTTTTGGAAAAATACCGCAAGAAGTTACCAGTCTTCTTTGTTTGTTGACACAATTGCCAAGAGTGCCTCATTTGTCCAATATCATTGATTGCAAATAATGGCTCTGGTTGATGTTGATTCATGGTAGTTAATTTATTTGTCGCATCCAATTGGATATTTGGAAACATAATTAATTCACGACACATTTCCTTAATAGGTTGACGGAATATGAATCGTGTTCCCGTTTAAATCACACACTACTATCTCAGCTCAATGCCAGGGAAGGCAAAATACACTCATCGCCCGATTATAATCGCTTGACACTGTCCATACAAGTGGGCATTAAACAATTCGACAGAGATTTGCAACAATTGAAATATGGACTAAATGAGGCGTCCAAAAATAAGAGCATGTAAGTTTAACAAAAGGGTGTACTTGTTTGGATGGATGTTATTTTGGAAATCTAGTTATGAAAACTCAATATGCCACCTACAAAATAATTTACATATCAACAATCTACAGGTTGTATTGAATGATATTAAATCTGTTGCGTAGTATATGAACATTTTACGATGGCGAAGGAAGTTTTAAATGTTTTCATTTGATTATTTCTTTGTAAGTGGAACTTTATCATGACTGATTAGAATATTTATATCTTTAAAAATATACACACTTAGGAGGAAATTAATTAGTAGGTAGCTATGGACCAACTATAATTATACCTGCTACATACTGCAAAATGTTAACTGTTTTTCCTAAATTGAAAGTATATAGTAGGATCTCCAAGATAATCGAAAATTTCGGATTTAGGTACATTTCTTGGACCCAAACATATTAACAATAAGGAGGTTAAAATCAATCATGAAGGTATTTGGAAACATGGACCTATGTATATTGTCTGCAAAAATGTTTGCTAAAATATCCCTAAATTTGGGTCTGACCGTTTGAAACACGGATCAATATTGAAAATTGCCTCCAAAAATATTTGCCAATGTTTCCACATACACCCGATAAAATTGCCCCACCAAATTTAAGGGATACTTTACAACGATATAACCTCGAGAACAATTCAAAAAATGAACCACATTTTGACATATCCCTCCATATTGTTACATCACTGCAAAATGTGCTACATGATTTTTTTGAAGGTATTTGGAAACATGGACCTATGTATATTGTCTGCAAAATGTTTATTCAAATATCCCTAAATTTGGGTCTGACCGTTTGAAACACGGATCAATATTGAAAATTGCCTCCAAAAATATTTGCCAATGTTTCCACATACACTCGATAAAATTGCCCCACCAAATTTAAGGGATACTTTACAACGATATAACCTCGAGAACAATTCTAAAAACAGAACCACATTTTGACATATCACTCCATATAAAAGTCGCGCCCGTTCAAGGTTTTTTGATGGTTTTGGCATTCTGGTCTCTTGAGGTTTACAAACCTGTTTGTCCAATATATTCAATATTGCACCATGTTTTGACAAAATCCCTATAAAAATGTTCTACCTCTATTTTTGTATGTTATTCCACCGGGGTACATTTTTCACTCGAAATGACTTAATTTGGCATTTCTTGGAGGGTAAACAACTTCTTCACTGACGAGTCTCTTTTTTGATATAGCACCCATATTAAGATACCCAAGTCCAAAGTACATTTTCCAAATTAAGTGACCTTAAATTAGCTTTCCTGATTTTTAGTAAAGGGTCCATCCCCAATTTTAAGATATTCAATTAAAGATATATTTTAGAGTTTAAAAGTCCTCATCAAAAACAATTAAAAATATAGATCCCTATATTAAAAAAGCCCGCATAAAAAGGTCCCGCACAATTTTTGATATTTTAATGGTCACATGACCGAATTTTCAACCAGATATGTTGTAATTTGGCATTCTGTACTCTTGATAACTTAAAAAACTTCTTTGCAGAAAATTGTCCAACATAGGTAAATATTTCGACATATCCCACATATAAAGATCCAGTCCCGTTTTTGATATTTATATCTTTGGAAAGGACAACTTTCAAGCACATTTCGGAAATCAAAGAACGGACAGTGGCGTAAGCGTCCAAAAGGACAGCATTCAACAAATCCTTGCCACGGTTGGCATCATCGGAGGATACTGTGCCGGATTTGAGGGAACAAGCAGGAGCATCGGCAACTTTGCCAACTTTTTGGGCGTCAGTAGAGACGACGAAACCGAAGATACCAGCATCGGAGTAGGTGGCATTCAAGCCAGAGAAGCAGGCGTTGACATCGCCGACGGCAGAGGCAGAAGCTTTGCCGAATAAAGGTCCTACCTAATTGTCCAACCTAAGTGGCTGTAATGTAATATTTTGTTTTCTCAGAATAATAAAAACCCTTCTGGCCGATAGTTTTGTTTTGGTATATAAGAAACAGCCGACCTATTTTTTCTACTTCGTATGCCCACCTCATAATGGAGGTTATAAAAAGCTCGGCCGGGTTCGAAACCTAATAATGTTTTCACTTGCTACTACTTCCACATGAAGTCGTGCAATTCATTTTTTAATTCTGTTTTCTTTTTTTCCACTACAGAACATTTGAAGAAATTGAAAGGCGACAACGTCTATTGGACACCTTACAATCTGAACGACAAACTTTACAAAATAAATATACAAATTCGACACGAGATGATCGTTCGGCATTGTTGGATAGCAATTGGCCCTCAACGTCGACCACTCGGGCTGGTGACAGTAATGATGATGCAGCTATCATCGATGTAGAGCGATTGAAACAAGCGCAGATAGATATGATTGAACAACAAAATCAGGGCTTGGAAACACTTTCACAGACTTTGGCACGTCAGAGAGCATTAGCAACACAATTGGGTCAAGAAGTAGAAGATCAAAATGGTAAGAAGATGACAAACACATTTATGGTTTCTGATATAAAAGCATAAAACAAAAATCCCTCTTTTTAGATATTTTGGACAACTTGGCCAATACTATAGAAAGAGTTGATACGGGTGTTAATCGAGAAACACGCAGCATATCGTTAATAAATCGAAGTGATAGTAATACCTGTGGTAAGTCCCAAAAATATTTTGATTTAAGGTTTCTCTTTTCATTGAACATTTTCCCTTTCAGGTTATTGGATTGTAATTATTGTTCTCTTTGTAGCCATAGTTATTGTTGCCTTGTGGTAAAATAACCTAACCTAGCTCTAAGTATATTTGTAATGTCTGTATCTTTTTATCTCATTCTTATTTCTTATTTGTATAAAATAATGTTAAACTATCCAAAGATATATTACTGTTTTTATATATAAAATGCCGATCAAAATACAATATATATGTATTCACTAACAACAAAATGAGTAATTTTTAATTTATATCCGATTTCGAATCTTGTTTGCGGCTTTTGCTCGGTATATGTGTTTTGTATATGGTTAGTGAAAAATAGTTTAATTTTGAATACGAATTTCGTCGATTTTTCATTGCCCGGAGATGTTGGACGCATATTTCGGGGCCACCAAAACCTGTTCCTGACAGCTATAATTGGCTAAGAAGTGTGTGTATTAAGGGCCTATCTTTTGCAGAAGACCCGAATTATTTTGTACATAAATTATCTTGTTCTTCCTCGTCTTCATATAATTACGAATCTGACTATGTTTCCCATGGCTCTTAAATGACCATGGAGTAGACATAAGTAAAACTACTGTGTTGTTTGTTATATCCAACCAACTGATTCTACATAGTCATAATGGACCGAGGTGACAGTCGTTGGCCGAATGACCTCACAGAGGTTTGAAAAACTTTGGACATCATTTGAAATTGTATAAGGATTCCTCCATTCTTTGCTTCTCGAAAATAATGACTGTTTGAAATCAAAAAATCAATTCTTCAATATTATTTTTAGTGGTAGTGTTTAATTTATTTTATTTAGTTCTCTTAGAACATTCATTCATTATTTTCCGTTTATCACTAAATCGATCGTTTTTAAACTTTTCTAAGTATTTGTTGGGGAGCGTTGATTTTATGTGAATGTATACTGCCTTTTAATAAAAATTACAACATTTTCAAATTGTTTGGTAAGTTTCCTGTTTTTTCTTTTTTTTTAATTTATAGCCCCATTTGGTTATCTTTCCTCTATATTTCTTTAGTATTAACAATTAATTTATTATATTATGAAAAAGTTGTTGTGTTTTTCTACATTTATGCTAAGTCAGAAGCATATGGGACATTAGCCAAATTACCGACAGCACCAACAGACAATTTGGAGGAACCAGCCTTCTTGGCAGCGGCTTGTACATCTTGTTGAGAGACACTATCGATGGCAGCAACGAGAGCATCGGCGCTTTGTACATCCTTGGTGAGGACAGCTTGCAAGCCCATTTCGGAAACCAAAGAACTGTCGGTGGCGTAAGCGTCCAAAACGGCAGCCTTCAACAAAGCCTTGCCACGGTTGACATCATCAGAGGATACTGTGCCGGATTTGAGGGAACGAGCAAGAGCATCGACAGCTTTGCCAACATTTTGGGCGTCAGTGGAGACAACGAAACCGAAGAGACCAGCATCGGAGTAGGTGGCATTCAAGGCAGAGAAGCAGGCGCTGGCATCACCGACGGCAGAGGCAAGAGCTTTGCCGAATGGACCGTTGACGGCACCACGCTTGGTGGCTGGACCACTGCCAATGGCGTATTGCAAAACGGCGAAAGCCAAAGCTTCCTTGGGATTGCTTACAGCACCACCTTGACCAGCAACAGCAACATGGGCTACATTGCCGGGGGTGTCCTTGCGGGCATCACCACCATAGTAGTTGGCACCAGAGCTGGATTTGCCACCAGTGGGCAATTCCAAGCTTTGGGCAAAACCAACCAAGGCGTTGTGGTCAACACCAACGCCTACGACGGCACAGCGACCAGCAGTGAAGTTGTTAGCAACATAATGCAACATGGTTTCGCTTGACAATTTGCCAATTTGGAACTTGGGGATGTACACAGAGTTGCCCAAACCAGTACGGAAAGCAGCCTTGTGCAACAATTCAACAGCTTGAACCTAACAGGGAAACAAGTTATTCTCAAGCATTTTTTAAAAATAATATTTTTTTCAAAAAATATCTTACCTGTGGTGGGACAGTTGCAACTTGGTTCTTAATGAATGGTACGCTGTCAGACAATTCCCATGGTTTGAAAGCGGGTTGAATAACATCTTGCAAGTAATGCAATCCAACTTCCAAATTGTTGGCAGTGGTTTCGACAGTGTAAGCAACAACTTCGCGATCAGAAGTAACAGTCAAGTTACCACCGACTTGCTGGATATTGCGGGTAAGAGCGAAACCAGTCGAGTTCTTGTTGGTCAAACCACCAGCAACACGCAACAAATGTGTGGCACCTTGGGTTTCGTATGTCTCATTGCGGGAACCAGCTCTGAAATTATTCGAATAACGTAATAATTTCTAAAAAACAAAGTTTATTTTCTGTAGAAGAGCCTTACCCGAAGACCACAGAAACACGAGTGACAGGCAATTGAGCTTCAGCGGTGGCTACAACAACTTTGTTGTCAAGTTGCTTAGTTTGGACAGCTGCAACTTCACCAACTGGTCTGGGACAGGCAGCGGCATATCCACGTTTCTAGTTGAAAGTATAAAAATTGTGTTTTAATTGTTGAAATCACAAACCTGGAGTAGGAGTTTTTTTCTTTTATGGTTACGTTTGGGCTATTTACGTAACCATGCTTATACACGATTTGCCAATGAGAACTACCGAGATTATTATTTTTATTTCCGCATTGTCATTCATTACTTACAGCAATAACACGCAACAAGGGAACTTTGCTAGCGTTACAAGCCATTTCGATAGGATTTTAATTAATCGCTAATATGTTCACGGAAAAGGAGCAGATAAGTTAAATTCCCCCTCTGAAGAAATTTTCAATTTTTTTCTCCACCACTCGGCTCGTTTCTGACAGACAGTACTGACAATATGTTCAAAATGGGTTTGCCAAAAACTGACAGCTGATTGATTGCACAATCATAATGAAAAACGTTCCAGGTGTGTGTGGTATTAAGTGCGATATTTAACGTGTGTAAATATATTACGGCTGTTCCAGAACCTGCAAGAATTTACAATTTTTTACTACTACATTTACTACAATATATTTATTTGACAAAATATACAGAATATCAAATGAAATGACAACATGAACAACGATTAAAGATGATTTATCATAAAACGGCATATACATTAGAACTTTTTACCGGGTTAACCTTCTTTATGAGGATTTATTTGACATATATGCAAAGGAATTGACAATTGAAACCCACTAGGTTAACCAAATCCGGTTTAATGTAAACGTACTATAAAACACGTTCTGTGTAAATACGCCCTAAACGTCGTCAAAGTTACCAAAAAGCGGATTTACATATAACCTCTAATCATGATTAATTCCCTTGTTGTAATTCTTCTTTTCATTTTCAAATTGGAAACAAATATTTTTGGTTCAAATTAATAATTTTATTTGTATACTAACAATCATCAGTTGATCGGCATTTAGATCATGATTAAAGGTATGTGTAAACAATTAGGGTATATTTTTGGATTTGGTTAATCGAGTCGATTTAAAATCGTTTAAGCGGTGTACAAATTATCACTTTTGAATGGCAGTCTTGCAAATAATTGACTTGTTTGACAGGTGGCCTCTCACTTTCGCCATTCATTAGGCAACGACAAAAAATATTCATGGTTGGTGGGCAGCCAGTAATCGATAAAAAAATCTGCCACTCAAAAGTGCTAGTGTGTACACCGTTTTAAGACTACTACGCACTAAAATTTTTTTCGTGTTTGCTTCATGAATGAAGAACATGACAGGTCACACAAGCAAAATTTGGGCAAGAGTGCCATTTTCGATTTCATATTTCGACGAAGACTGGTAAAGGCTTATAACTTTGCATACATGAATTTGAAGACTCAAAGAAGAAGAAAATAAGGGTTTTTGTAATTAAGGGAATGAAACTGTTAGGAAGTGCGAGTTATTCCATGGATAAAGATTTCCTCTATCAAACTTTCCCAGCATGCAGATTGAGTACATTGAATATGAGAGAATATTAATAAAGAACAGTTTCGAATTTATGCTACCCAATTTTCCTTTTGGGTCTTTTTTTAAAAACATAATTTATCAAATTCATATTGACACTAGAATAACGTTGGAATCCAATCAGCTGGCATTTGCTGTTACCTTTTATAATTGTGCCATTCGTGAACACACAGTGTAGAAAAAATGATTTTAAAATTTGAGAATCACTCTTGCCATCACTTGATGCTGACACAATAAATCGGCTATATCTTCAAGAGTTCTTGAGAATTTTACTTGAAATTTTGTAATATAAAAATATATATAAAATAATATATAAAATAATTTCATTTTTCAAGACTTTACACACAAATTGAATTATTGTTTTGAAAGAATTAATAAAAAATTGTAATCAGTTGATAGTAATTATTATACCTTGGTTTAATGTAAATGTAGCATAAGTCCCACTACTGTCAGTTCGTTTAAACAATATCATATGATTTTCATATTGTTTTTGTTTTGAAATTCGTCACACAGATATTTGATAGTCAGTTGACGCATAGTAACCGGTAGTCAAAAAACAAAATACGAAAAATACGGAAAAAAATTACAGACCGAGGAGCCCATACAATTCAGAAGATTGTTGAATTCATTTTTATTGTAGAAAATTATAAAAATAAACAAGTGCAATATTCGTGTTCAGTGAAGTAAAGTGAACAAAGTGATTAGTGATTAGAACAAAGTGTAAACGTCAAGAAATGGCATCGTTTTTAAATTTGGGAACCAACCCATTTTCAACGCCTGTAGGCCAAAGAATTGGTAATGATTTGCCTTATTAATGTGCATTTTTTGTTGTTGCTTTATTTCTTATTGGTAAAGAAATCATTGCGGTGCATATGTAGAATTATTGCTGATAATGGAATATTTTCCATGGAAAGTTTTGCATTTTTCATGTTGCAATATGTTTGCAAGTGTATGTTTGTTTGTGTGTTTCGCTGTCTCATTCAGAGACCGAACAAACGATTGTCATTGTGGAGAAAATTGAATTTTCACAATTTTTTTTTGTCATATTTATACACCCGCTGCAACAGTAGCAAGTGTCTATATGATGTTTATGGTTTTTGTGTAAATATAATTTTTATAAACGTTTCCGAAAAATAAAAAAAAAACTTCATTAGAAATTTGTCGAAATAAATACGGAGGGGGATGGTGTTCACTTTTGTCAGGCAACTAAGCAATTAGAACGGCAAGCCGTAAACACCTCAGCCGTGACAGGTTAATTATGTTATATATGTATTTACATATGTCGGTATGACTGAGTGCATTTTAGTTGTTATCTGCGTTTTTTTGAGTTACAAATAAAGTGTAATTCGAAAATATGTCATATAGTGGGAAACAAAGGTGTAGGAATGTACACACATGTTTAAGAAACAAAATCTTGGATAAAAAAATGAGTGAAGTACAGAAATCAAATTTAAAAGAGCTTTCTGCCGCGTACCCCGTTGTTGCATCTGTCTATAGATGAAAGTACTATATCTCCAACTGAAGGCCCCACACAATACCTACATTATTCTGTTCTGCATGGTTACCTACAAAAACTATCCTATTTAACAGGTGATTCTGTCGGGTAGATAGTGCATTTTCCTGCTTTTTGCGGAAATCCGAAATATAGTCCTCCATAGTTTTTGCAATATGGTTATCAATTTCAAGCATTTTAGTGTCCTTATTACAAAAATGTAATTTCCTTATCGTAGAGACCATACTTCATGATATGGATCTTCATTATAATTTTAAAGGTTAAAGGCACTGATTAGAAACTAGAAGTATTGGGACATAATGTTTATACATAGAAGATCCTGTTGCATAGCCGGAGTTGCCAACTGCCCCTAGAAAAAGGTCTTAATTAAATCACCGACAGAAGTCCGGCCAAGCACATATCTATTCTAAATAAAAGGAATTTTACCTAGCCTGAATTTCTGTCCAAAAGAGAAATTCTTAACTCCCCGCAAATACTATTTCTTATTTCTGCTGTATTTAATTGATACCCAAAATGGTCAACGCGGAATTTTAGAGGCCCATATCTTAGGAAGTATGGACTTTTCGATAAAAACCAGCAGGGAAAGTTCAAAAGTCAGATGGGTACGACTGTATGATACCCTTCACCACTTTGGGTACATAAAAGAGATGCTCATATGTACAATATCGTGTGGATAGAATAGACATAACATCATTGGAAGACCATTGAAATGGATATTTGAATTCCATTATGGAAGCCACTATAAAAGCTATATATAAACCTGAAACGACTCCAATCCAATACGCTACGCAATATTTTATATAAAGCGAACAGACATAGGCTCCTCCATTTGGACATTTGTATAAAATCGCAAAAAAATATATGAAAAAATAAAAATATATGGAGCCATATCTGAACCGATTTCAACAACAAAATATCGTCTAAATATGATATATGGTGCACAAATTGCATGAAATGGGACTAAAGTTTATATGTGAGCTATATTCAAATCTGAACTAAATTCAACCTTAATAAAATAATTCTAGCCTATATTCCATACCTGATGCTAAATTTCATGAATTCAAAACAAACATAATCTCTTCTATGCACCATTTACATTAAATCTGTACCGATTTTAACAAAACTTCACGCACGTTAACCTGTGGTGATTTCAATACTCTATGCAAAATTTGGCTCAATCGTTCAAACATTGACGACATGTTGCTCAAATTGCACAAAATCGGACGAAACTATATATGGGAGCTATATAAGAATCTAAACCGATTTCAACAAAACTTCACACATGTCAACCTTTATTAATATTAATACGCTATGTAAAATTTTGGCTAAATCGGACAAACATTGACATTATGTTGTTCCATTTACATAAAATCGGACGAAACTATATATGGGAGCTAAATCTAAGTCTGAATCGATTTCAACAAAACTTCGCACACATCAATCTGGACCTAATTCAGTAATTTATTCTCAATCGGACCAATGTTGGGAGTTTGGTGCTTCATTTACATAAGATCGGACGAAACTATATATGGGAGCTAAATCTAAGTCTGAATCGATTTCAACAAAACTTCGCACACATCAATCTGGACCTAATTCATTGCTCTGTAAAAAATGTTTTCTCAATTGGACCAATATTGGGAGTTTTGTGTACCATTTACATAAATTCGGACTAAACTATATATGTGAGCTATATTTAAATCTGAACGGATTTTCTCCATTTTCTTGGGCCAAATAAGTGACCTGTGTAAAATTTCATTCATATCGGATCATAAATGCGGCCTGTACTTTGCTCACAAAAATACATGGACGGACTGATAGATGAACATACATAAATCGACACAGAAACTGATTCTATGCATATTCTCAAAAGGACAAATACCCTGTTGTGCCACAGTGTGGTGAGGGGTATAAAAATTACTTTTTTGTTATCAGAACTTCAGACATGATAAGATGATAATATGTATATCAGTGAATTTTTTAAATCATAAGAAAATACATGGGCCTGAGGACAACTTTATAGGCCCATATGTCCGGAAATACGGATTTCCGCAAGAAATTATTTATTTAAAATTTAACATATATAACGAAGTCTATGTTAAAAATTTCAAAACGGTTATTGGTCATATTTCTAAATCACTTATGACATACAAGATGAATTTTGAGGATCTGCACCAATTCCTCAAATCCGCTATCCCCGAAATCGAGGTAGTGGTGTATATTTGTCACTAACATGACTAATATTTCCAAGAATATCATAAAACGGGTTATTTACTGGTATATACAAGTATGCGTCAAAATGAGGAGACTACGACTTTTGTATATGAAATGCAATTCAATTTCTTTTATTGTGAATTTAATGCAGCATAAGTATTTTTTTCTGAATACAATAAAGTAGATTTAACTGTATTCTGAATCACAAACAAATTTCGTTCATTGTTTATTTTATTTCCATACAGACAATTTAATAAACAAGTGCAAAAACGGTATTAGTATAACATTTATACTATGTGCCAAGTTATAATGGCTAATCTAATCTTGTTATAAAAAAATGCTGATTGCAAACAAAGGTTTGTGGATAAATTTTTGGTGTTGATTTTTTTGGTATGCATTATGTACGTAAAAAGTTCATATACATTTATTGCTTTTCTCTACTTTAGACGGTCAAAAATAACATTCGATTAAATATATATATTTTGCTTTTCAAAGCAATTTAATATGTATTTGTAAAAATAATTCACACTAGTTCATTGTCTTCATTTTTGTTTGATTTTGTTATTTGAAATCTAACTAAAATGTGTAAATCTAACTAATGTGTACCCAAAAACAGAAACTTTTATTACGATTTATTTTTTTTAACAAACTTATGACTGGTGTGAATTATAAATTTTAACACTCTTCATGCATCTTAGAAAAACAAACAGTAGACGTATCTGTTGATATTAGAGGTCGTTTATTAACCATTGAAACCGAGCATATCAAATGCTATTGCAATTGTTTAAGTAACAGCAGTACCCTATATCATTTTAAGCGTTACATTTTCTTTTATATAATCATCATTGAAATGCTTTGATGGAAAACAACAAACTTATTAAGCCGCAAAAAACTAGTACATAAGCTACCGGTGGTTTCCAACGATGACTAATAAGAGCTTGTAGAAATTGTAGACTATATTTATTGCTGTTGTTGTTATTATTGTTCGTTATCAACTTATATTCATTGATATAAAAAAATACGTACACACATAACAGTACGAAAGAAAATGTGAATAGCCAGAAGATATGGAAAAAATTGATTTGTATAGTTTTTTTTTTGAAATGTTTTGTTATTTGCAATCTACGTTTATAATCAGACATAAGACCCTAGCGTAATTACCGAAAAATGGGTTACCAAAAAAGTTTTTTATCTACATTTTGAACGACTTTATAATACCCTATTCATTTGAAAATATTCAATTTTTTATATTTCAATACTATTAAGTAATTGTATTTCTGTCCAACCTACACTTTATGTTACCCAGTGTAATTCTTTCTATGTTAATTCACACTGCTAAAAGTTTGAACTTTCAATCAGGTGAATGTTATTTTTTGTTTTATATTTATATTTGGTATTCATATATATCTGTTGCTGCTAATTGAGTATGGTCGAGACTGTGTGTATTGAATAAAAATAAATAAAACACACCAATATGACAATTTATCCGTTTTCCTACATAAATAATAAATGAATGAGCAATTTTTCTTAAGTGAATAATGTATGCGGTCATGAACTCTTAAGAGTACAAAGTTGTAAAAAGAAAAAAAAAAAACATTTGCTGATTATTAATCAATTATAAATTTCTTAAAGACATGATATGAAACCTCAAAAATTGCTATTGCTGTGATGGACCTAGAAAAGTTTTCACACTGTAGCCACTGACCCTATAAAATAAAATAAAAAAACGACAATGTTTCTAGTCTGATCATTTGGTACCCAGTAAATAAAATATCCCCAAATCAAAAAGTGTCATAATTGGTGGCTTGTGGTTATGAAACCAAAGTCCAAGTCCGACCCAATAGAATCTACTGCATATTCCAAGATCGAAATGAGCTCGCACAATTCGAGGATGTCGTGTATCAAGCATTCTTGCTGAAAGTTCGTACGCTTGTAAATACAATATACCCCACATTTTGTGTTCAAAAATTTAGGAGCGTCTGGAAAGACACTAAAACCATAATAGGCTGAAGTCTTCTCGGGAATTGTTTTGAAATTTATACATGTAGTTTTTGGGGTCCTGATTACAGGGTTTCGCAGAATTTTCGAGGACCATATCTCAGGTCTTCAAATGATTTAAATTGATACTTATGTTGCCTTAGTGAATTTTAAAAATCATTATAAAATACAAGGGTTCCAACGGAAATATGGATTTCCGCAAGAAAATCTAAGTCTAAATGTGGTAAACATTTCAAAACTATCTGCGAGGGGACCCTTAACTAGACTAGAATTTACTCGCCCTTCCCCTTTGACTTACTCTACAGTTTTTCGTTAGTTATTCTGGATTATAGGGAGTGGGAGATTGAGATGACATTTTGTGCGAAATTTTTCGCTAATAAATTTAAAAGGGCCTGACTACAAAAACATAAGTAATAAATATTTTTATGAAAAATATATGTACACAATACTTATTCTACGACGATTTAGAATATTTTAAATTATTGTATGCAAACTCGAAAACAACAAATAAAATGCCATTGGAAATCCGATTGATAATATTCTCAACTAAATATTGCCAATAAATGTATAAAGGTAATAAGGAATATTTAAGCAGAGTTTGATGCATTTTGGAGCCGAAATACAAATATTTTGGGCGAGGATTTGTCTTTCAAAAAAGAATTATTATTATGGAAAACCCAAAATTGCCTGATGACCCGCTTAACAGTGAAAAACTCAAATAATTCAATCGCAGATTGCTTCCCATTATTCGTGCTTCTCATTAGTTCGTTGCGGTTTTTGCCATCATAAAAAATGTTCTTTTATTTGTAATCTGTTGTAGTTCTTGCATCAAATTGCATCAAAACAATAAACAGCTGTTTCACATGCCGTTGTATGTTGCCATATTTTCAAACGTTAATTTATTTTCTTTTAATTACAAAGCATTCTTGATATTTCACATTTGTATTGTTATAAAGGTTAAATAACAATAAAAAATAAGAATTTTTAATAAAAAATTAATAAAGAAAATATTGAAAAATATTACAAAATTAAATTACAATGGGCAACATGCATTGCAACATAAATTTCAATATGGCAACATGAATATTTTTTTTCAACCACCATTTTCGAAAAATCGAATCCGCCTCTCGCATATTTTGCGTCTCCCTATTCATTCACAATAAGGCGAGAATGTGAAAGCGAATTTCTTTTTTACATGCGAGATATCTCCCTAGCGAATATTTAGAATAAGGCTGTATATCTCCACTTACTAGATAATATATGGATTATAAAAATTAGAAAAGAACTACTGCACCCTCAGTCCCCATCGTTACAAGGGCAGACATCTAAACTCTCGGTATAGACTCTTCTTCAAATACCAAAAGTGAGGTCTTCAGCATACTAAAAACGTTTCAGGGGACGACAATTCTCAACGACATAAATGACAGTATCACTAGACGGAGTTAGTCGCTTTCCGCCTGATCCATAAAGGATTGGAACTCGTATAATGTATGATCTTCCTCCTTAGTCATGGTGTGATTAATTTTATCAACCATAGTCATCACTATTTTAGTTCAAAATCTGTTCCTTTTTAGTCAATATTTAATTTCTACACTAATTTTAATTATTTGCTTTTCTTTCTTCTTAGAACAAGCAACAGATGGTTCGATGGCCACAGAAAACTGGGCATTGAATATGGAAATATGCGATATGATCAATGAATCTTCCGATACAGCTCGTGATGCCATGAAAGCCATACGCAAACGTTTACAACAAAATGCTGGAAAAAATAATCAAGTTATTATGTATACTTTGACAGTGCTGGAGACATGTGTCAAGAATTGCGGTAAAGCCTTTCATGTGTTAGTGGCCCAGAAAGATTTCATACAAGAGTTGGTTAAACTTATTGGTCCTAAAAATGATCCCCCTTTGGTGGTGCAGGAAAAGGTACTTAATCTTATACAAGTTTGGGCAGATGCCTTCAAAAATCAACCGGATCTTAATGGAGTCACACAAATGTACATCGAATTGAAAAATAAAGGTATTGAATTTCCACAAACCGACATTGAAAATATGGCTCCGATTTATACACCACAACGAGTAAGTTTTTGGAATAATATTAAACAAAATTTAAATTAAAAAAATAATGTAATTTTCACATTTCTTTTAGAGTGTACCAGAACCTCCGCCACCGCAAGCGGTGCCTCAACAGGCAGTTTCGCCTCAGCATGCCACTATGACAGCTGGAATGCCGGTATGATTTTCTCGTATTTCATTATTTTCTAAATATGTGTATAAATATGCTTTGTTTTCATTTTAGAATACCGGCTCAAATCAGCTAACACAGGAACAAATTGCTAAATTACATTCTGAATTGGAAATTGTTTCAATGAATATATCAATTCTAGGCGAAATGCTCACAGAACTAAGGCCAGGCCAAGAAGATCCAGATGATTATCAATTGCTTAATGATTTAACAGCTACTTGCAAGTGGGTTACAACACATTGAAAACATTTCGTATTTTTGTTTTCTGATTAATGCAATCTTTCAATTTCCTTTTTATTAGAGAAATGCAATCACGTATTGTTGATCTTATTGCTCGTGTTACCGACGATGAATTAACCGCAGAATTATTACGCATCAATGATGAATTGAATAACATGTTTTTGCGTCATCAACGTTATGAAAAGAATCGTGCAACTACTACAAATATGACTTCTCCATCGGCTGTATTGGGCGCTGCCATGGGTGTACCCACTTCAAATGCACCAGTATCGAATATACCAGCTGCTGAACCAAAATTATTAGATTTTCCCGAAGCTAATAAAGATGATATGCTAAATAGTTTTAATCGTTTGGGTAATGAACCAATGGATCATTTACTAATAATGTGGTATTAATTTATAGGTAAATACTGTGATTTCAGGTCTAAATAATGCAACGAAACCCAGCAACAAAGATGCTGATGAATTTGATATGTTGGCACAATCTCGCACCAATGGCAACAAGTAAGTTAAACAAACAAGTATTTATGCTCTACACCATTAAGTGGAAATTACAAATCCCTAAAACCGATTGGGACTTTTATCAGCCTTATTCTCGACATTAATTTACCGTGAATTTGTTCGCTCTTCCCTTTAAAGTTATTCTGAACACACTTTACGCCCATTTGAGGTGTATTCTTCACACTTACATTTTCATAGTGAGTGTATTCATGTTTTCTATATAAAAGAAAATCTTTTTTGAAATAAAAAAGGCACATGATGATAGATTAATATGTTTTTATTGCGTATAATTCGTTTAAAATCACAAAAATAAAGGAGGAGAAGCATATCATAAAATAATTGGCCACTTTGAGAATTTGGGAATGTGAAAAATAAACCAAATTGCATCAAAACAATAAACAGCTGTTTCACGTGCCGTTTCATGTTGCCATATTGTAATGTCCTATTCAGGATAAGGTGCACGTTCCATAAAATTTGATTTCATAGCACCGTTGAATTTTATCTGGACGAAGGACTGCGGGAGCCATTTCTCTGCTAGCAGTCAGCCGGGTGGGGAGGTTCGGTCCTTCTCCATCAAAACCATGTATCCATTACATGAATTATTTAATAGACTCCCTTTTTATTTAGATAAGAAAACGTTACGACTGTATCTATATGGACCAGGATAACTAATAAAAAAAATCCCCAAATTAGTTATACATTTGAAACTATTGATAAAAAAAAACAAGGTTGTTGAAGTACTGGTGTCTTTTCACATGTAGATTCCCACTGGTGTTTCTGTGAGAATGCGCACTTTACCCTCTCCAGCCTATGTCCTAAAAGCGCTTAATTTTATATTCATAGGACCCCTAACATACTTACTTATTTATTCACTTCACTTGGCTCGAAAACATATATATATCAATTTACCAGGCCATCATTTGGCAAATATTTATAAGTTTATTCAAGACATATGGCATGTTTTAGACAAGAATTTAGATGTATATAGATATATATAATTAATAGGAAAATTTATATGCACCTAGGCGGTTTAATTCTATTAATTATTATTTAACTATTTATTTACTAAAAGAAATTCAAAAATTCATCTTTGGCCCTTAAGGGGTTAAATTCTATAGAAAATTATTTCAAAAATAAAAAATCAAGCAAACGCTTATCAAAACAAAGATACAAAAAAATCACAGAATGAATCTAGCAATGACATATTAACATTACATGCAAATATATGTATGTAACAAGGTGTGATTTTTTTGTCTTTCTTTATTTTTCTTAAGTAATGAGAGCTTCTAAGTTATAGAGAGAGAGAGCACTTCACTCAATTTAAAAAAAAAATTCACCACATTGCGGTATAATTCAGCACATGTAAATCACTCATAAGTTCTCATTACTCGAATATAAAATTAATGTAAGAGAAAGCAATCACTTGTTAAATCGGAGAGAGTGCAAATAAACAGCTGTTTTTAACTTACCACCAAATCACAATACGAAGAAGGCCTCCTGCATATTCAGTTTGATGATTGCTGGAATAGAATTTTTTATGGAGCTGTCTCTTACATTCAACTACTCTTCTCTAGAATGATTAATCGACTCATTAATTAATGTATGTAAATACAGATAAAGGGAAGATACTTAAAAATGATATTGTGGGGAGTAGGTATCAGTTGATGGTTCAGGACCATTTGCATAGCATCGATGATCGGAGGATCTCATAATGGTTGACGAAAAATTTATGCCTGTGGCAATTTTTCGTGCTTCAGAGGACTTCAAATTTGTAGATGGTGTATCTTTTCGATTATTGGTGTTATGCGGGAAGCTTAGGGGGATCTTTCTTCTTAATATTTCATCGATCTTTCAGGCTTTTCAGGTATGTTGGAACAAAATGATCGGGCATCTGATCTCATAGATGTTTAATGGGGATAAGGGAATCCTATAAATCAATCGTATGTGCCACTGTTGTGGGGTTTTTTTTTTTGGCCAACAAATTTTTGGAGTCTTTTTTTCTGATATTTTGCTTTAATTTCTGGTATAGAATCCAATTAATGGTGTTGTTAGGTATACATTTATGATCAAGTTTTCCTCATAAAAAAATTAGCCAAATTGGAGAGTGTCAAAAAAAAATAAGTGATCACGCTACCCGATGGGCAGCGTGAATCCTCTTAAAACAGGAATCTTCGTCCAAGACGTTTTCAGTGGAGTGCCAAAAAAAATATATTGTATTAAGTGCACAAACTATAAAAAATACACTATGTTAACTTTGGAATTGAAATGTAAATTATTTTGCAAGTCTCACCTTATAGTTTTTTTCAACTAAATTATTTGGCAACAGTATTAAATAAGACTTGACTTATTTATATATACGAAAACGATTGGATTTATGAATTGGATGTTCAATTTACACTTGGATAGATTTTAGGAAACTTGATGATGTTATCACTTTTAAAGACGATGATAAAAGGAAGTTGACTTGGATTATTTGTCCACTCATTACCTCAAATTTTAAGTCCAATTGACATTTCTAAAAACATCGCACACTAATCATTAATGTTGCCACATTAAATCCCCTTATGCAAGGTTGTAAGAAGAGGTATGATATGTTTGTAGTTTTCAAAAATATATATTTTTTATTCTTAATTATTATGTTTATTCTCGGTTAAAAAATGGAAATGTGATATATATATATATATATATATATATACATGAAATTTCAATATTTATTGCATTGTTGAAGAAATGTTTGTTGCTTATGCGATATGTTTGACAAACATAGGAATGTTTGGTAAACAGAGATTAATTCGTTTAGTTTGGTAACGAACCACTTACGTTCTTGGATCCAGAATCTCAAGTCACCACAGAAAAAAATCGGAACAGCGGATCAAAATAAAGAATTGCAAAAATTGATTTTGCTTTCAATGAGAATGTTAACTGTCGAAGTTTACAGTTTGTTATTCACTCATTCGTAAATATTGCAAGCATCAGAACAGCAAATATTTACAACATTTTAAATACAATAATTGAGTTTGATTTCTTAATAATTAATAAAAAGGTTTAAAAAAAATATAAAAAAATTAGCAAAGTAAATTCTAAAAGAACTACAAAAGTATATGTATGGAAAATGTGTGTTATGAGAGTCTGTGGTATGGAAAAGGAAGCCAACAAAATTGAACCTGAAGCAACATATTATCCGAGACTGGAGTTGGATAGAACAAATATTTTGATTCTAGGTAACTAAATAATTGCATATTAATATAAAAAGACGTGAACATCATAAAAAATTGGTTTTCGAGATTGGGAATATAGCTAAAATTTTTCAAATCGTACTCGCTCAAAATAAGTTCCCCAGACGTACATTACAAAACCTAGTAATTCGCTCAATTTTGATGGCGAATTAATAGGAAAAAGGACGTCTATGTGCGAATATCCTTTGCATGGAAAGTACCAACTACTTTTCCATTCGTATCTTCAAGGATGTAGTAGTGACTTCCCAATTTCTCTTTAATTTTGGCTTTCACAAATACTGGCGCTAGTTTAGCATTAAAATGTTTTTCCATATTGGACTGTGAAAAATTACGTCGGTAGACGTCTTGACCAACCGAAAACGTTGGTTGACGAGTACGAAGATTATAATATTTTTGATTTTTCTCGTAGGCAGCCTTCATGTGTTTCGTCAAATCTTTCCTTATTATTTGTAAATGATCGTCATTTGCCAGTTTAACTGTGGGTTCATTCAAAAGATTTAAATGTTTCAATAGTTGATATGATGATGCATGTGTTATCATATCATAACCGAAGAGTGCGTGGTATGGCGAACAATCTATTGACTGATGATATGAGTTGCGAAGTGCACAACTAATCGCAGATAGATTTTCATCCCATTGTCTATGGTCGTTCTTGAGGTAGGCTCGAATGCCAGCGATAAGAGATCTATTGACTCTTTCTGAGGCATTCGACTGCGGCGAGTATAATGCAGTGTACATGTGATGTATACCAAATGAGGTCAAAAAGGCATTAAGGTCATTCGATTTAAATTGACTGCCATTGTCACTGATAATTGTTTCCGGAACACCATACATATGAAATATATGCTTGAGAAGGAAGTCCTGGATAGCAGTTGATGTAAATTTTTTTAAAGGACAAAGCCAGTGGTATTTTGTCAAATGGTCAAGTACAATTAGTAAACCTATATGTCCGGTTTTACTACGTGGATACGGCCCAAGTATGTCGATATATAGTCTCTGAAAAGGCCGAATGGAAACCGAAGGATTTCCCATAGGCGGTTTCATTACCATATTGGGTGATTTAGTTTGTTTACAAATTTCACATTCTCGGACATACTGCCTTACATCTGTTACCATCCCTGGCCAGAAAAAGTGCCTTCTTAATAGTTGCAAAGTTTTACTCATACCTCCATGAGCATTCATTGGAGTGTCATGAGCTACGGATATGGTTTTCTTTCTCATTCTCAGAGGAACCCATAACTTCCAAGCTTCTTGGTCTTTGGCTTCGTCACCTGTATAGTGCTGGGTTCTGTAATAAACATATTTGTCGACGATTTTAATATCCGGGAACTTTGCCTGATTATAAATAACTTTCTCCTTTAGAGATTTATAGTCTTCATCGTCGAAGAAAGGTGAATCTAAGTCTATTTCGGGTTCTGTTATTTGAAGGCTAGATATATCGTCTTCAGGTATCCTTGATAATGCATCTGGGACTACATTATCTTTGCCTTTTCGATGGCTTATCGTGAATTTATAACTTTGCAGCTTAAATACCCACCGAGCTAGTCGGCCTGTTAGGTCTGGTTGCCGCATAAGCCATAGTAAACTCGAGTGGTCAGTTATGACCTCAAACTCTTGTAGTTCCAGGTAACAGCGGAATTTTTTTATAGCCTCGATGGCTGCAAAGCATTCCCTTTCGGTGACGCTGTAATTACGCTGGGACGAGTTCAATTTCTTGCTCATGTAGGCAATGGGTTTTTCATGACCTTCGTCATCCAATTGAACCAGAACC